ACCATATACCAAGATTCTAATTTTAAGACATTCCCCGTTTGTGCTCTCCCTCAAAATTAAAAAAGTTTTTTTCTTCACATATTAGCCAATCTACTAGAAATATGCCCACTGTTGTTGAATAATTACAGCCGTCACACGGTGATTCGAGAGAGTTAAAGTCAAACCTGGGGTGAAGGGCATTGTGGAAGCCTTGTAAACTCCTTTGCGGAAGTAGACATCAATGAAATTAAGCCCAATGGCCTTGTTCTTCACACGTATCTCACCCTGACCTGGCTCTCTTATCTCCACATCTTCCCACTTCAGGACCTATATATCATTGCCGTCATGAACATTCAATAAGCAAAAAATGGGTAATTAAAGAATAAGAAATTAGGCACGAAATGGTAGTCAATAAAGATGATTCTAGATATGCAACTCCAAAACACAATCTTATACATTACTCCCACGAAGATTTTTAACAGAAACTATAAAGAACTGAACTTTCAATGATTTCAAGTCCAATCTCACACATGGGCACACTTAAAAGGAAAGCATAGCAATTTGAACAGAACAAACTCAGGGGGCTTCTGTTTTTCCCAAATCATGATGTCTACAAAACCCATCACCAACTTAAAAAGATGAATCATTTCATTGATTCCAAAACAGATAAAATAATGCTTATCGAACCTTATCATCAGGGTCACCATAATTAGATCAATAGAACAAAACTTTATCAACCCATCACCATAATAAAACATTAGCACCCTATAAGATTACCTGTATAAAATACAAACAATAGTACAAGAGATCGAGAAAGAGACCTCAGGTCCACCAAGCTCATGAACCCTGATAGCTTTTACCATTTCGGTTGTCTTTGTTGCAGCTGCTCTTGCAGTGACTGTTACCTGGACAACTGGAGTTATATGGCTTTTTGTTGTTGAAAATGAAGCCAAATGAAAGAAGTGATTGATTTTGTTTTTGCTGCTCAGACGTCGAAGGTGATGACGACGACGACGACGACTACTTAAAGTTGGGTAACTTTGGATGATGTCCAAACTGTGGAAGCAACAAGTCACTGGTCTAAGGCTGAGCTAAGCCTATTTGATTATTCCACTTGCCAGTAGTTATCATTCCTCTCCATTAACCCTATGTTCTATAACATGAGTACGATTATTAAACTTGACTTTACGGCTTTAGATGTGATCCGGTCAATTTAACTAATTTGTTATTTGATTCATTAAGTTTTATTTTTATTTTATTTTATTTTATTTATTTTTATTTAAATTGCTTAACTCATTACTTGAGCTTTGAACTGGATCATGAAATTAGTTTGGATAGTGATACTCGATTTATTTTATTCAATTATTTTTATTGATATATCAGTTTTTTTTTTATAACACCAAATTATTTGAAGTATTTTTAGGTAACCATATGAAAAGAATATATAATCCTCACCACTTTTCAATTCCCTGTTAAATTTTGAATTTGAAGGCTATTTTGGTATCTAATATTATAGAATTTTAATTATAAGATGGAAGCATATTAGAAAGGGCTAAATTAATAACTACAAAAATAAATAGAGTAGAAATAAAATAATGGTCACTCCATGCAATCGACTTGATCTTGATCTTAATAAGTCTTGATTTGTTTTTCCAATTTTAAGAATATTTAATGTTTAACAAAATAAAACAAATACTTTCTAATCTTGAAACTATTTTAGAATATATTGAGTTTTTATTATAATATGTGAAATTTCAGCTAAGCATATCAAACTATAATATTTTAGAATAAATTTTGATTTCGAGGACATAATTGATTAGATTGATAGTTGAAGCCTCAATTTGCCCTAACCTCAATAATGAAGGAGCAAAAACTTCCTTTTAAGATATTTTCCTGCTCCAATAATTGAGGACTGCCACCATCCTTTCTTATCTGTGCACTTTCTTCAAAGTTTGAACAGTCTTGTTAGCATTTCGTATATAGACAGTAGACACTATGCCAACTGATGAAGTAAGCTGGTCATGCAATAGTTACTTCTTTGAGAGGGAAACCATAAAATATTTCTAAGTCAAGGAAGACCGCAGAATTTTGTCCTCCAAAAATCCAGATTGTGAATGATATTGCATTTGCTTTCAATGTTCATGATGCTGATATCTACAAGTCAAAGGAAGGCTATCTGCAAGACTGCAACCGTCCTCCTTCTTGTCTTCTCTCTTACAGACATTTGTGTGTAAACTTGGAAAGATTAAGCCATGGCAGCAGGGTTAGCCACAGCAGGTGAAGGGGGGCAGTACAATGGGAAGATGACTTGGTTCGTTATTTTGTCTTGTATGATGGCTTCCATGGGAGGAGTCATTTTCGGCTAGGACATTGGAATTTCAGGTCTGTCACGCTCTCCGATCAAGTCTTTTGAAATGATTTCTCCATTGCCAATTGCCTGCATATTTTCCTCTTCTGTTTGCTGTTCTAAACTATAAATTTGCTAGATTATGCTTTTTTGTAGACACTGTCATGCCAATTTCTCATGTAGATCATGATAGTGATCATGAAACTAAAGAAAATAAGCAGGCAGATTAAGTAATGTAAGTTCAAGTTTATGTGAAGGTGGAGTGACTTCGCATCCTCACTGTATATTGCTGGCCTTGCTGCTTCCTTCTTTGCATCATCGATCACCAGAGCGTTTGGGCGCAACTCGCAAGCCATCGATTCTTTTAGGTGGTGCTGCCTTCCTTGCACGTGCCGCCCTAGGTGGTGCGGCAATTAATGTGTACATGCTAAAATTCGGCCGAGTCTTGCTTGGAGTTGGTGTTTGTGTTGGTTTTGCTAACCAGGTAATCTACTTGAATCCTTTTCAAATTCTGAGTCTCTAGAGTCATTTGATAAAATTATGATATTAAATCTATTTTACAGTCAGTCCCACTCTATCTGTCTGAAATGGCTCCACCAAGATACAGAGGAGCAATCAACAATGGTTTCTAATTTAGTGTTGGCATCGGCGTACTCTCTGCTAACCTTATAAATTATGGAACTGAAAGGATCAGATAAGGCTGGGGCTGGCGAATCTCCCTATCCATGGCAGCAGTCCCGGCTGCAATTCTTTCTCTAGGTGCACTTTTCCTCCCAGAAACAGCAAACAGCCTCATTCAGCGGACTGATGACACTGAAAGGGCTAAGCTGATGCTACAACGGGTCAGGGGCACTGAAGATGTGGAAGCGGAGCTTAACGATCTCATCCAAGCTAACTCAACCTCAAAAACCAATGAGCACCCATTTAAGAATATCATCAGAAGAAAGTATAGGCCTCAGCTAGTAATGGCAATAGCATACCGTTTTTTCAGCAACAGGAATCAATGTCATTGCATTTTATGCTCCCGTACTTTTCAGGACAATCGGACAAGGCGAAAGCGCGTCCCTAATGTCTGCAGTTGTGATTGGGGTTGTAGGCACAAATGTTTGTGTCAGAAATAATGGTTGGAGGTGTTATTGCAGCCCAGCTTGGCGATCATGGCAGCATAAGCAAAGGGTATGCTTACTTTGTGTTGATTATGATGTGCAGCATATATGTTTCTGGGTTTTCTTGGTCATGGGGTCCATTGGGGTGGTTAGTCCCGAGTGAGAGATATTCCCACTGGAAATTCGTTCAGCAAGGCAAAGTATTGTGGTTGCAGTGAGCTTTCTCTTCACATTCATTGTCGCACAATCCTTTCTGACCATGCTTTGCCACTTCAAATCTGGGATTTTCTTCTTCTTTGGGGGATGGGTTGTCGTGATGACTGCCCTGGTGTCCTACTTTCTGCCAGAAACCAAGAATACGCCTCTTGAGAAGATGGATGGATAAAGCGTGGAGGGAGCACTGGTTTTGGAAGAGATTTGTGGAGGAAATGGATGAGCATAGTAGGACGGAAGCTGCCTGAAATACAAGGAACTAGCATTTTTATGTCCCCTCTGCAAAAACCTACAAAGCGTTGTGGTTGCAGTAGGCCATCTCTTCTCTCTTTCCTTGCTTCCTTTTCGCATAGAAGAGAAAACAAATTTCTTTAAGTGGGTTCACATGAACTCCACACATAAGCTGTCCTTGACCAAACAGGCCTAAAAAACGCACAGCCGCTGTTTGCCCCTGACAGGCCCTAAGAAAGGTCTTCCTTCTCTGTTTCTACATTATCTTGGAAATTCATACAAGTCTGCATCTCGTGAAAAGAAATGATTTGAAAAGGTTTATTATACACCTGCTATCTAATCCATGCTCTTCCGCGGATTGTAAATTTAAGAAAAAATATCGGATATAAGCTCTTTTAATGTGTTCTTTTACATTGAAAAAATAAAAAAAATTGAAGTATTTTTTTGAAATATTTTTTTACATAGAAAAAATTTCTTAAAAAACTATACTGTCTAATATTTTTTTTATCCTAAGGTAAAGTACAGAAGTATTTTTACTTCATGAAAGTTTATAAAAAGTCAAAAAAAAATTTGACCAACAGTTCGAAATTTTATTAACTTCAAGGTTAAAAACGTAGTTTTATCGTTGAAAGAAAAGGAAAAGGAAAAGACTTAGATAAACTCGTGTCCTCCATTGCGTGCGCTCTCTCTCTCTCAGACTGATTTGTGTGTGAACTTGGACTCACGGCAGTAGGATTAAGCATAACAAGGGAGCTCTACAATGGCAAGATGACATGGTTTGTTCTTTTGTCTTTTATGATGGCTGCCATGGGAGGAGTCACTTTCAGCTATGACAGTAGAATTTCAGGTCTTTTTTTCTCTGCAATATCAATCCTGAACAGGATCTTTCCTGCAAATTTTGCTCTTCTGCTCGTTTTTAGGTACTATAAACTAACCTTATTTCGCTACACAATGTGCCACATATAACTAGTGTAAATAAGTTCAATCAAATCTGAATTAAATCCCAAAGTGTGCTGTGAATCTGTAACATAAATGACATTACTAGCCAGTCTCCAATTTCTGCTTGGATTTTATGCGATGACCAAGAAAAGTAAAGCATGATATATACATTTCTAGACTCCAGATCTGTAACCTCAACATCCAAGTTTCCAACCTCACATGCTCCTATCAAGTCTATTTCAGATAACAACATCGTAAATAACTCTTACTTTGACTATCCTACACTGATGATGTTGGTGGTGATCTCTAGCAGTCAAGGACGGCTGCTCTTTTTATTCCCTATATACCATCCACAACTTGGGATATCTCTTCCTCTCTTTCAACTTGTGGAGGATTAAGCCATGGCTGTAGGATTAGCTGTATCAAGTGAAGATGGGCAGTATAATGGTAGGATTACCTCGTTTGTTATCCTGTCTTGTGTGGTAGCTTCCATGGGAGGACTTATTTTTGGTTATGACATTGGAATTTCAGGTCTGGTGCTCTAACCTTCTTTCTTTCTCTTTAGTTTTTTGAATTTGAACTTGAACTTGTATTCCCTCACTTGCAAGGAGGGTACGAATATTAAACTCCATAAATCATAACAAAAAAAAAAAGATTAATTTCCTTGATTGAGCTTAATTTTATCACCAATGCTACTGCTATTGTCAACGTTTTTGCTGTCAAGTAATTATTGCTATAAAAGAGATCGGTTTGATTATTAACTTAAGCAATTAAATTTAAAGGTGGAGTGACATCCATGGAACCTTTTCTCAAGAAATTCTTCCCAGAAGTGTACACTAGAATGAAGGAAGATACCAAGATTAGCAACTACTGCAAATTCGATAGCCAGATTTTGACCTCCTTTACATCATCACTCTATGTTGCTGGGCTTGTCGCTTCCTTCTTTGCCTCATCAATCACTCGACACTTCGGGCGCAAACCATCAATCCTTGCAGGAGGTTCTGCATTTCTTTCTGGTTCTGCCCTCAATGGGGCCGCGAATAATCTGTACATGCTAATATTTGGCCGTGTCCTTCTTGGAGTTGGAGTTGGTTTTGCAAACCAGGTAGTGTACCTTGAATCTTTTAGCGCACGTAGATTGCCATTTGATCACTTGACTGTTGTGTCTACTAATTTTCATGTGGTAAGGAATGGATACTCCATCTCTCTGAAATGGCATGTTGTTGTCCTGTTATTTTTCTGTAGTCAGTTCCCTTGTATCTCTCTGAAATGGCACCTCCAAGATATAGAGGGGCAATCAACAATGGCTTCCAACTCTGCGTCGGTATTGGGGTGCTCTCGGCTAACTTCATCAACTTTGGCACAGAGAAGATTGAAGGTGGTTGGGGTTGGCGAATCTCGCTAGCAGCGGCGGCAATCCCTGCCACATTCCTAACAATAGGTTCCCTTTTCCTACCAGAGACACCCAACAGCCTAATTCAACGCTTCAACGACGAACAAAAGGTCAAAACCATTCTACAACGCATCCGTGGCACAACCGATGTCGAAGCAGAATTTAATGATCTTATCAAAGCAAGCTTTGTTTCAAAATCCATTGAACATCCAATCAAGAAAATCATACAAAAAAAATATAGACCACAACTAGTCATGGCAATAGCAATACCATTTTTCCAACAAGTAACAGGTATCAATGTCATTTCATTCTACGCTCCAATCCTCTTCCGAACTATAGGTCTAAACGAGAGTGTGTCGCTCATCATGTCCGCGCTGATAGCTGGGGTCGTCGGCACTGCTTCAACGTTCCTATCGATGCTCGTAGTGGACAAACTTGGCAGAAGAGCAATGCTCATATGCGGCGGCGTACAAATGTTCGTGTCACAGATTATGATTGGAAGTATCATGGCAGCCCAACTAGGTGATCATGGCAGCATAGACAAAGGGTACGCTTATTTTGTTCTGGCTATGATATCCATATATGTATCTGGCTTTGCTTGGTCATGGGGTCCATTGGGATGGCTAGTTCCAAGTGAGATTTTTCCTTTGGAAATTCGATCGGTGGGGCAAAGCATTGTGGTGGCAGTGAATTTCGTCTTCACTTTCGTTGTTGCACAGACATTTCTGGCTATGCTTTGCCATTTCAAGTCAGGGATTTTCTTCTTTTTCGGTGGATGGGTGGCAGTGATGACTGCCTTCGTGTATTTGTTGTTGCCTGAGACTAAAAAAGTCCCGATGGAGGTAATGGATAGAGTGTGGAGGGAGCATTGGTTTTGGAAGAGAATTGTAGAGGAATTTCATGACTAGAGTGAGATGGAACCTGCTTGACTTCAACTCCACAAGATCATTTGTGCCTTGGCCTGTAGTTTTTGTCAAGAAATGGGAACATATCCATGCTTGAATGTGTGATCCTCTAGCCCACTTGGTTTGCAGAAATGGAAATGAGGAAAAGGCTTCTGCTTTCCGAGGGTGTCTGATACTGTGTTTAGAGTATATTTTGAAAGTGTTTGGTTTGAAAAATAGTGTATTGATATTTTTTTTTTGTTGCTTTCCGAGGGTGTCTGATACTGTGTTTGGAGTATATTTTAAAAGTGTGTTTGGCTTGAAAAATAGTGTATTGATATTTTTTTTAATGATTTTAATGTATTAGTATTAAAAATAAAATAAAAACTATTTTAATACATTTTCGGTGAAAACTATCCTTCCTCGCAATATCAAAAACACATTTATAGTGATAATAATAATTTTAAAAAAACTCTAAAAAAAAGTGAAAAGAAAATAAAGGCCATTAAATGTTATATATATATTTGTTGAAAGGGTCAATACAGGCGTGCTTTTGTTTTCCATAAACAAGAGAGAATTATAAATTAGTTTCTCTAATTTTACAAAGCAAATTAAATATTAATTTTTATCTATAAAACTAATTAATTAGCCCCCCCCGATTAGTGGTGACCATGCTTAATTTTATTCCAAAAAATGTTTTCTCTCTCCATAATATCTATCTTCTTCTTTTTATTACCGTCTCTATTTCTTAAAAAATATAAATTGAAAAGGGATATGAAAAGAAAAAAGGGACTGATTAAATAATTATTTAATATATATCGTTAAAGTAGGGGGCTGATTTATAATTTACTCTCATAAATAATAGAAAAGATAACGAAAGCAAAACACCATTGATGATAAAGAAGCTAATGAATCATTGCCTGAGCTTTTCCTTTCACTTTCTCTTTAGGCTGTTAGCTGACTCTTCTAAATTGTAAGGCTATTCAAATTCGGCAGTCCAAATATCACAGCTGCAGGCTGCAGCCGCCACCCTCGATAGATTATTAATTAAGTGATTTAATCCATCTACCAAAAAGAATAATATAATTCTAAGAAAAAAAAAGTCAATTATCTCTAGAAACAGAAAGAAAAATAGGTGCTTGGATCAAAATAATATAACACAAACAATGTGTAATTTTGTCCAATAGAATAATTATTTAACAATTTCATTTTAAAATTTTATTACTATGTTTTTTTAAATGGTATGTTGAAATGTAAGGTAAACAACCTTATCTATGTTGAAAGGTATAAAATTTAATGTGAAACTATTTTTTTCTACAATTTAAGAAAAAATAGATGAAAAAAAAAAGAGTTAAGTTCAATAAAAAAACTCAACAAACCAATTTTTGCTTTGTAATTTATTTAAAAAAAAATTTAAAAATCAAGAAACAAATATAAAATCAAATATGGATCATTTACTTGATTGTGTTTAATTATTTTATTTATTAAAATCAATTTGGAATAAAAATTGAGAAGCATATAAGATTTATTGAATAAAATAAAAGGAAAGGAAAAAACATATCATGCAAGGCTATATTAAAAATATTTTAAGAAGCAAAAAAAATTTATTTCTGTAAATAAATTTAATATAAATAAATTATATAAAATTACAAATGAATCATACTAATCTCTTTAAAATTTAAACATATCCAATCTAATTAAAAAATAATTACTATTTAAAAAAAAATATGCAAAGAAAAATCACAAAGAAGTGAAATAAAAACTTAAAAAATTATTTTAAAAATATATAAAAAAAATTAAATTAAAAATATCAAAACTATAAAAAACAATGAGGCTATGCCAACCCGAGCTAACACAGTAGACATATAATCTAGATGTTAAGAGATGAGTTAATCCGGATTTTCCTAATAAACTTATGTTCTAGATTATAATATCGAGATAATTCGATAGAAAAATAAACTAACAAAATTATAAAGTTATTTTTTAAAAACAAAATATCAAAAAACAATATATTAAAAAAATAAAACAAAAAAGATATGAATCTTTGACTTGGGTCTTCGGAGAAGCACCATAAATGACATAATCATGAAGTTCAATCCCTATAAAATAAAATATTAAAATATAAAATTAAAAAAATACAAATAAAAAATCTAAAATTAAAAATAACAATTAAAAAATAAAACATAAATTAAAGAGCTACAACAAATTTTCGTTTTGTTATTTAAATGGAAAATAACAAAACTATTAACAAAATGAAAACAAAAACCCAAAGAATGAGAACAAAAAAGAAAAAAATAATATGTTATCAACTTAAATTGTAAAGTGAAATTAAAAAAAATTAAATTTTTTAAAATATTTAATGAAAAAATAAAAAAAATTATAAGGATAAGGACTAAATTAAAAACACCAATACATGATTAGAAAAATTAAACATGTAGAATTTTTCAATGTATTTTTTATATTAACAAACTCATAAATATAAATCAAAAAAATTATGGATGCTTCCAATTAAATAAACCATGAATTATTGTATAAACAAATAAAAATATTCATTAATGATAAATAAAAATATAAGTGCAAAGATTGAGAGATAAATTAAGATGTTTAATATTGGAATATGAGTTATTTACTTGATTGTATTTAATAAATTTATTTATGAAAATCAATTTATAATATAAATTGATACATCTATAAAATTTATTTTTTAAAAAAATAAAAATAATATATAAGGTTGCACATATTCAAACAATTATAAAAACAAAATACTTAATTTAAATAAAATATATTAAAAAATTATAGATGATTCACACTAACTTCTTAACAAATTAAACAAATCTAATATAATTAAGAAATAATCACTAATTAAAAAACTAAAAATTAAGGCTAAGCTCATCATAGAAAAGATATGTAGTGTGCCTATAAATTTTTAAATTAAAAAAATAAAAAAGTTTTTTTTTTGAAAAAAAAACATAGTCTGAAATCTCAAAATTCAATTACTATGGTAGCAAAAAAAATAACAAAAAAAAATAGAGTTCGTTTTCCATCCAAAAAGTTCATTTTAACTTATTTTAGCCTAAAATATCCAGGTGATTTCAAGGGGGAAAGAACAAATAATTTTAATTTCTAAAACCTTTTAACATAAAAATCATAAGTTTTGGTTGCCTATTTTTTTTTTAAATGACAATATTTTCTCTTTAAATCGGAATATGGTGCCCCCTCTCTTTTATTTAGAAAGGACTAAAAAAGAAAAAGAAAATTTTGGTACCAAAATATTTTTAAAAAAAAAATAGAGATTACATACCTAATCAAAAAGTGGGGGAATGAAAATGAAATTTTTAAATAAATTGTATAATTGTCACCAATTTTATCTGTTTTTTTCACTTTAGTCTCATGTCTTTCAATTTAACCCTCACTAAGAAATGCAATTGGGTTTTAATTTATGATTAAAATTGCTCAATTATGAAAAAAAAAAATTGAGAATCAAATTAAATTTTTAAAAAATTTCACTACTGTAATCAAAATATGAAATGATAAACAATAATTAAGCTACAAGAAAAATGCCACACTATTTAACTTTTCTTATAATTGGTTGCATGATTGACAGTTGTGCTATTAATTAATGGTTCATCTACGCCGAAATGTCATTGTTGAAACTATAGTTTGAATAAAAAATTACTATTTTAACATTTTTGTTATCAAAATCATATTTTAAAACATTATATATTTTGAGAGTATGATAGGTATTATTTTTAAAATATTATTTATTTAAAAATATATTAAAATAATAATTTTTAAATTTTTTATTAGTATTAGCATTAGAAAAAATTAATTTTAAAAAAATAATTTTAATTTTTTTTAAAAAAATATGGTTTCATGCTCTGAAACAAACCTTTAAAATATGCTAGTTTGCAACAAAAACAATTACCGTGTTATTTGAGAGAAAAAAAAAAGTCATTATTTGGTACAAGAGTCGTTATAACGGTTAGAACAGATGAAGGTAAAGCCAAACAAGAATTATCCACAAGGCAGCAACCCATTTTTCATTTGGATCAAAGGCTGTTTGGAAATGTAAATAAAAATTGTTTTTTTAAAAATAGTTTTTATTTGAAAATATATTAAAATAATAATTTTTATTTTTAACAATTTATTTTTTTTTAAAAATTTATTTTTAATATTAACATTAAAAAATATATATAAAAAACAATCTAAAATTAAGAAAAAAAATTAAAACTTTTATATATATATATATATATAAAACAATCTAAAACTAAGAAAAAAATTAAAACTTTTTAAAAACAAATTATATCATGCCGCAATGTCAAGCATGTCCTTAATAGCCCCCCGCAACCGCCTCAGTCTCCAAAATAAACAAACACAACCAAACGCAAGCCACTTCTCTCTGTCTCTAACACCAAAAATATTATTATTTTTTCCAAAAAACAAATAGTTTAATCCACTGACTGTCAATTTCAATTTCAAAGTTTTAAACTTTTCAACTTGTCTCACGATTACTTCCATTTAACTATCAAAAAGCTAAATCGCTCTCGTTGATTCTGTTTTGTGCTACTTTCCCTTGACGTTGTGCCCTCAGAAACTATAAACAGGTACAAATATTCTCTCTCTATTCAATTTCTGGTTTTTATTTTGTTAAATTGTATTATCTGATGACTGATTCTTGTTTGGTTTTGTGTTTTTAAGGCGAAATTTTGATAAATTTATGTTCTTTATGCTAGTACTGTCGTGGATTAGATAGCTTGTTTGTTTGTTTCTTCCTTTTGTGTTCTTGTTTGGCTGGTGCACAAATTGGAGGGAAGGTGGGATTTGGAACTTTTTAGCTTAGATTAAAAGGCATGTGATCTGATGATGATTTTAGTTAACTGTTAAGCTAAATCAGAGATAAAAGTTTGTAACTTTTTGATAGCTGATTGATTCACTGATTGGTTTTAATTACAGAAAAGTTTGTGTTTTTAGACGAATTCTATTTATTTGAGGAGATGCTGATTGGAATCAAGCTGTCTGTCTGTTTGTTTATATATTTCTTTTCTTTTTTGTCGGCTTGAAATTTGTCAAGGCTTTAAGTAATATAAAGGTATCTGCTTCTTTGTTGGTTTTGCTTCAACAAGATTCAATCTTAAATAATTATTTTGGGATTTGCTACTAGGTACTGCGATTATAGAGATGCCTTCAGCTGT